ATTTGCTAAATGTTACTGTTTTATCGAAAATTAATTATTCTGTTTTAATTTTAGTAATATTTAAAATATAAAGAATTTAACATTCTTTTGCTTATATCAGATAAAGAATGACGATACTCTATTGATAATAAATTTAGATGATTAAAAATTTAGGAATGAAATTGATAATGAATTTTAGGGATGAAATCATATGAGGAATTTTGATGAATATCATAAATAAACGAATTGAATACTTTTAATAATAAAATAATTAAATAATTCCTATTCCTTTTATCCTTCTTATCTTTTTATTTTCAATTAACTAATTGAAATAGTAAAAATATAAATATTTTAGTATAAAAGTTAAAAAGGAAAAAGAGAGGAATGAATGAAAAGAGTACTCAAATAAATCTATTTGTATTTATGTATTTATGTATTTATGTAATTCAATTCAATTCTCTCTTTCTTCCACTCTCATTCAATTCATTCATATTCAAAAAGAAAATTGTATTAATTATTCGAAAAAAGTAAAACGATAAATTGAAAACATTCATTTGTATTCATTACTATTTCATAGCTGTTGTTACCAGTAGCCAGCCAGCCATTCATTCATCCCGGGACATCTTCTATTTAACAATCTTTTAAAATGAAAATGTATTAATTATTCAAAATAAGAAAAATGAAAAGATAAATTGAAAGGATACATCTTTGTATTCATTCCATTTCATAGCTGATGTTATCAAGAAATTATCATCAATTCATCCCGGGATATCTTCTAATTTAACAATCATATAAAAAAGATATGAATTATTCAAAAAAATGAAACGATAAATTGAAAGCTATTCGTTCAATTTTATAGCTGTTGTTACTAATTCATCCCGAGATATCTTCTATTTAAAAATTCTGCATTCATTCTATTTCATAGCTGCTGTTAACAATTCATCCCGAGATATCTTCTATTTAAAAATCATTCTATTTCATAGCTGATGTTATCAAGAAACTGTCATCAATTCATCCCGGGATATCTTCTATTTAACAATCATACAAAAAATATATGAATTATTCAAAAAAATAAAACGATAAATTGAAAGCATATATCTCTAGATTCATTCTATTACATAGCTGCTGTTAACAATTCATCCCGAGATATCTTCCATTTAAAAATTCTTCATTCTATTTCATAGCTAATATTACCAAGGAATTATCAGCTCTTCCCGAGATATCTTCTATTTCATAATTATAAAAGAAAAAATTAATTAGAATCGCTAGATTTTTTCTGATAGCATCGGAAGAAATATATTTCTTATCAGAAAAGTAACAAAGTTCCAAACAAGAAATTAAATACTTGAATACTGCACATTATATATAATTATTTAAATTTTGATTCTCAATTATATTAGTAAATTATTACTGCAAATTTTCATTATTTCTTTTTTCTTCTTTAAAAAATTGATATGAAATGAAATAAATAAAATTGGTAAAAAGAAATTTTTGTTTTAAAGAAAACAAATTTGCTGCAACGAATTATAAATTAATTTTGAGTTTACATATTAGATGATAGTAATGAGAAAATAATCAATCAATTTAAATAGTATATTTCTTATCATTTATCGTATCAAATAGGGATATTTCTTAGCATTTATCATATCAGTGATATAATTGAAAAATATTTTAATGCTTTATTTTTTGTTGAAATTTAAATTTTCTTTTACAGAATAAGAATTTTTATCGTTCTTCTTTTTTAAAACAATTTTCTGATGTCTGTTTTACAGCTATCGAACAAATCATTCAATTGTTTCATATAATTTTCTTGGAGATGTCATATATGAAATATATTGTTAAATATGCATAAAGTATTATCAAAGTATTATCAAATTCTTCGCCATACAATAAAGATGAAATATGATAAAAGAATCATGCTGTAATCTGCGTTTTCTTATGTTATCATGATATGCATAATTTAATTTAATCATACGTAAATTTAATTATACGTAATTAATATATTAGCAAAAGATATGTTAGAACATACCAATAGCAAATTGCTATCATTACTAGCAATTGAGTAATATTAGCTTTATTTTAAAATATCGACAATTGCTAAATTATACAAAATGTTATCCTATATATTTGTTAGAGTGTAAATAATAGTAAACAGAATAGAAAGGTAGTAATTTGTTACCTTTCTGATGCGGTCTTCTTTCAAATCAATATTATATGTGTCATTTATTTTGTCAATTCTCTCTATAATTTCACGTATCATTGATATTAAGTGATATATTTGAAATTATTTGTGCTAAAATAATCATACCCTGATATTAATGTGATCCCATTAAATTATTCAATCATGCAAAAAATATCCGCTATTGTAAATCAGAACAATAACAATACAATCAATGTTAACAATAACCAGAAAAATATATTATTTGTAAACAAATAAATAAGTCATGTTGTTGTATTGTTGTTGCTATATTTTAATGGTTATTAGAGTGTAAATAATAGTAAACAACAACAGGACAAATGCTAACAATAAGCAAAAAAATATATCATTTGTAAACAAATAAATACAGTCATGTTGTTGTGTTGTTGTTGCTATATTTTAATGGTTGTTAGAATGTAAATAATAGTAAACAGAAGAACAGCAATTGCTCTTGCCGTTGTTGTTGTGATAAAACAAATAAGTAATGTTGCTATATTTAAATGGTTATTGTAGCAATTGCTGTTGTTGTTGTTGTTGTTGTTGTTGTTGCTGTTGTTGCTGCTGTTGTTGTTGTTGCTGTTGTTGTTGTTGTTGCTGCTGTAATTTACGATAACAGACATTGTTCGCATGACTGAACAATTTTTTTTTACTCAAATATCTCATTGTTTTGAATTTGAATCGATTAAGTATTTTCAGTGAGGAATTGATGAGAGTATTATTTCTCTAACAATAAAATGTTAACAAAAGGTAAGGATAGAAAGACAAGAAATAAAAGGTGTAGCGATAAAAAGAGGACAGGTGAATATTACTATTATTGTCATAAATCCTAACATATTACTCTTTTCTACTAATAGCTAATAAATCTTTTAGGCTCAAATACTTAAGTCTAATTTGTTTTAATTAAAATAGAATTTAAAAAATTATTGAAATTATAACTTGATATTATTGCTGCTGTTATTTTACTTAACATTATTATTGTTTATTTATTGGTATTATTGGTAATACCATTTTCTTTGTTTTATTTATTATTATTAGAGCAATTGCTAATGCTATTATTTTTATTGTTATTGTTGTTGCATAATTTTGCTTCAACAAATTAAAAATTTATAATGCGTCTTTTTGGAATCTTAAAATTTATAGAGGATTTTTTCGTATCATATCAAAATTGATCTTTGTCTTTCTTATCATACCTGATAATATTTTTTGTTGGATTTCTTCTTATCATATCAAAAATTGACATATCATTTTTATTTTCCTATAAGTGTAACTATTTCAAATGCAATAAAATTCATCACTTCGATGTTATTTGGTATTTATCGAATTGTTTCCAGATGTTTTACTAAATCATTTATTAGCAATGCTAACAGTTTCTATTGCTATTAATTTGCATATCAATCTTTTCTACTTTTTTATCACTTCCATTACTATTCAATTTGAAAAAGTTAATTTATAATATTATACGATCTTTTCACAATTTTAGTATAATTTATCTTTTGATCAATTAAATTATTTATTGCTTGTTCGTATGATCCTAAAATATTTCACCTATCATTTTAATATGAATTATAGAAAAAATTTTTTCTTAAACAAATTACAATACTGTTTTGTTGGAATAAATTAATTGTTAGCATTCCTAAATTTAATCCATTTCAATCAAGTATTTCACTCCTTGTTAGCATTCCTAAATTTAATCCATTTCAATCAAGTATTTCACTCCTTGTTAGCATTCCTAAATTTAATCCGTTTCAATTAAGTATTTCATTCCTTGTTAGCATTCCTAAATTTAATCCATTTCAATTAAGCATTTCATTCCTTGTTAACATTCCTAAATTTAATCCATTTCAATCAAGTATTTCACTCCTTGTTAGCATTCCTAAATTTAATCCATTTCAATTAAGTATTTCATTCCAAAATTTTTTCCTATTTTCTATTTCGATTATTTCTTCATTGTTACTACTAAAACAAAATGAAAATTATTAAATTTGCTTTTCTTTGATTTATTCCAAATGTCCTTTTAAATGTTATCGGAATTGGAAATGAAAAGAAAAAAGAAATCTGTGAAATTTTATATCGAAATAGGAAATCAAAAAATTGGAATTACTTTATGCAATTATTTTTCCTATCAACAAAATTTGTCTGATTGCCATTTGGTCAAAAGTAGAATATATTAGTTTGATGTAAGGGTTTATAGTTTATTTTTTTCAATCATCGGTAAACTCTCTTTCTTTTCTGTGATCGAAGCAAATGAGACGGAAATGACCGCAAAAATGACCATTACATTCAAAAAAAAGAACAACGATTTTACTAGATGTCTTCAGTGAAATAAAGAAATGGCTAGAGGTTCTTCAATTTGCTAAAATACATAATTTGGTCACTAATTTGCATACTTACCTTACATACATAATCTTTTATGCTTCTTTTAATCATTTGAATTATTTCAAAAATTAAAATTAACAATATATTTACCTTACCTTTTTTTCTTAATTTAAATGTTCCAAATCAGGTAACACAAATAAGATGATCATATTTTCTTTCATTTTTCATTTACTCTAATTATTTCAGGTTATTTCATTTGTTTTACAGTTTTTGTTGCTTTACTTATTGACCTAATAACTTCTCACAGATTAAATTTAAATTCTAAACTCAATTTCATCAGAAATATTTATTTAATTTGATATATTTGAATTTATTAAATAATTATGGTTTATTTTTTCAATCATCGATAAACTCTCTTTTCTATGATCAAAGCAAATGAGACGGAAATGACCGCGAAAATGACCATCACATTCAAAAAAGGAACTAAATTTATATTTATTTATTGCCAATGGTCAAGTGTTCCGTTTTTCACCGCATTGGCCAACGACGTATTGCAATGAAGGACCAGACACAGTTTTGGTCACTGGAAAACGTCATTAGTCAGCTAGAGTTCTGGTCATCACCGGAAG